AAAGTCTTTCAAGGAAGGGGTTTTTTTAAGTGCTGGTGCAAAAGGGCTGGTCTGGCAGCCTCCTCTCTCCTCCCTGCCTCTAGCCTGGGTGGCCAGGCATCCTTCTGCTGTGCTGCCTTAGGATGGTGTCATGAGGTCTCTAAGGTTGGGCTGAGGGCATCTGGCTTCAGATGCTCTCAGGTGCTTTTGGTTGGGTAGCCAAGGAGATGGCACATCTTTGAGCTGTGGGGTAACTCGGTGCTCGGCTTTCTTTGCACCTCCAAAGCGAGCTGGGTTTGGACAGAGCCCAGACAGTCAATCTGTGCCATCCCCACGGCAGGGCAAGCAAACGAGGCGTGTCTGTGCCTGCTTCACTCGTGGCTGTCCGTGTTTGAGCAGGGGGAGCGTGCAGGTGGTCTTTGGGTGCACGTTGCCCTGCGCACCCCTGTCTGTGCCACGGTGCCTGTGCTTGCAATACGAGTGCAGAGGGAGAGCCTGCCCCCCGTTCCCTGGGTGCCAGCCTGGTGAGTGTGCGCTGTGCTCGTGGCAGGAGGCATGTATGGCCCAGTGGCAGGTCACCCTTGCATGCTCACCTGTCCTTTGCAGGGGTCTCCGCCCCTGGGCGCGGTGTCAGGGTGGAGGAAAAGGGGCTTGTATAACCTGTGCCCGACTGCCTTGCTCTCTCTGCTGGCCCTTCAACACGCTGGGCTCAGCCTCTGTCAAAAGTCACCACAAAGTGGCAGCAGCTTTGGCATCTCCCCGCCCCTCCTGGTGCACAGCTGTAAGGACTGGTGGCATCTCAGAGGAGAAGGCCTGAACACCCTCCTGTCTGCTAGATGGGCAGGGAGGGCCTCTTGTCCAGCAAGAGCAGCTTGGGCTGAGCCGAGATCCACAGGTCCTCTTCATCCTGCTTCTTCTTCTTCTTTTTCTTCTTGTTCCTCTCGGCGTGCAGCTGCCCGTTGCTGCTGGGGCCACCTTTCCTCGAGCCTTCTCTCCTCCGTCTGCAGAAGCAGCAGTGGCAGCAGATGAAAATGAACGCGATGAGGACGACCAAGGGCAGACCCAGCAGCACGGCCAGGCAGACGGTGTTGAAGATGCCTTCCTCGTGCTTGGTGCGGATGAGCTCCAAGATGGAATTGAAGAAAGAGCTGATCTTCTGCTGCATGTCGGCTTCTGAGTAGGCTGCTTGCTCTGCAAAGGTCCCTTGGGATACCTTCAGCTCCTGTAAGCAGCTCGTGGGCTCCACAAGCGTCCTGGGATGGTGCCTGCAGAGACAAGAAACTACAGGGATCAAGTGCCTGCTCCCTCAGCAGTTTTCTCCATGGAGCTGCCAGCACAGCCTAAGCCTCAGCAGGGTAAGATGTCTTCTGTCTTAGAGGGGTCTGGGGTCATGGGGGATGGACTATGCTGCCTGCCATGTTCCTTTGGGTTTCTCCATCTGAGAAACATAGCCTTCTATATCCTAGGATTCTTTTTTGGTGGTGGGGATGGACAAGGAGGGCTTTGGGCATCCCTTCTTGCCTTGGCATCTGGCTGAGCACAAATATTGCCCCTCTGCACTTACATCTCAGGCCTCGCTGAGCACCAACAGCACCGAGCTCTTATTAGTCCTTTGTAGGGCTTGTTTCTCAGCAGAGGAAATACTTCTGCAGGAGGAGCTTTGCTGTCTAGGAAGGGACTTGCCTGATTCAGGTAAGGTACCACTGTGGAGAGCAGTGCCACCGTTGGAGGCAGGACTCCACATGTCACAGGTCTCCCCTTACCCCCAATCCATCCTGGGACGGGGTATCCTTGGACAGACTGTTTGTCATGGGCTGGGATGGGCAGCATAGAGGCAAGGAGTGCCTGTCCCAGGCACCACACAGGGTCGTGGTCTGCTCCTGCTGCCCCGACACCCAGGGCACTGCCAGCCAGGTTTGGGGTGGCAGCTGTGGTTAAACCACCTGGATTTCTGATGAGAACCATGGTCATGGGACTCACAGGCAGCACTCAGGTGGGTGGACCCTGATGGGCTGCCTCCCTGCACCCAGGGCTGGCCACAAAGGCGGCAGCAGGAGAGGATAAGGGTTGGCTGGGGATGGAGGAGCTGCCGCCGCCGTGCCTCACCTGGGAATTGCTCCAAGGGTTTGGGTAGGGCTGAGGAGCATTTCTGTGGCCTGACGTAAGGTTTTCCTCTTCCCTCAGGGAGGGAGAGGTGCTGCTGAGTGGCAGGGCTCCCAGGGAAGCCCTCCTGCAGGGGCAGGGAGCTGCTCAGGCTTTCCTCCTCCCCCGGGGCCAGGCAAAGCTCCTGGGGGGGTCTGAGTAGGGCAGGGGGCTTTGTGGGTGAGTCTGCAGTTCTGGCTCAACACAGGGGTCACCAAATTAGAGGTTGTACAGACGAAGAGCTGGCAGGGCAGTATTGGGCTCTAACACCCTGTTTCACCCTCACTCAGCATTTTACATTGGTGTCTTTGCCAGCCTTTGAGATTCAAGCCCCGCAGCCTCTTGAGGGAATGCTGAAATCCCCGTGTGCCCAAGAGGAGAAACTGAGGTGCAGTCAAAGGAAAACCAACACTTCCACGTAACAAAATCTTGAAAGGTACAGCTCGAATTCCAAAGGTGTCCCAGAGGGGTCGCTCCACTTGTTCCCTGTGACACCAGCTCCTTGACTTTCCCTCGGGCAGCTCTCACAGAGCTTGGGGACCCTGGGGGAGGGACAGGGGGACCCAGGCTGGGGCTGGTTCCAGCTAAATCCTCCTTGTCCATGGCACTGCCCTTCCTTCCTTTGCATCGCATTTATTCCTGCTGTGGCACCTGCTAAGGGATGCTCTCTTGTATAGAGCGTTTTGGGATCCTCCAGTTCACTCAGCCAGCACATGCACTGCTCATCCTCCCCCTTCACTTTGCAATTACACCACGCTCCTAACGAACTAGCGAGCCATCAGCCTTGCCCAAAAAGGAACCACCAGTCCCACCCAGCCCTAACCACAGCCTTAGTGCCGCTGCTGAGGCAGGAGATGCTGGGCAACCCCCAGAAAGGTGGCTCCCCGGGGAAAACCTGCCTTTGGAAACACTGTCCTGGGACCTACAAGGCTGTGCAGGGTCTTGTTTCACCAGTCACCCCTGGCTGCTGGCTTTTGGACCTGACTGCCAGGACCCCAAGAGCTGAATCCCCAGCAGAGACACCGAGGCCTCAGTCTGGGATTCTAGAAGTGCTCAAATCCTGTTGGAAGTAAGGGGTTTATCCTCCGTGCCCCTCACAAAATTGGTTTGTTCTGCCCAAGAGCGCAGCTGAGCTGGCCCCAATTAGCTGGTGGTTTCTTTTTTGAACATGAATTTCTGTGGGTGCCTTTTAAAAAACCTCTCATTTGAGATTTACCAAATGAAATGCAGCGCTCTGGGAGGTGGTTTGGCCTTTGGCTGAAAGAAGTTTATTATTATTATTATTATTATTGCTGGATTTTTGTCCAGTCTGCTTGCATCTTTCAGTTTCCGTTTGCTAGGAAAGGAATTTATTTATATATATATTTATATACATATATATATATATATATATAACACATATAGAGTGGGGTTTTTTTGGAGGTAGACAAGCAGAATGGCTTGCACCCAGGAGGAGGAATGCTCTTGTGAGAGGCAGAAGAGCCTTTTCCACCCAACCTCTGTTGCTGAGCAGCTTCCCAGCCTTGGGAAAGCAGCTGCTCCCCACATTCCCTCATTCCACTCAACAGAGGACAGTAACATCATCATCATCATCCCCACCTGAGAAATCATGGGCTACCACTCAGAGACTCAAATCCCATCCATCCTCTTCCTACCCCCTGCCTGCAGCCAGTGGGGCACATCCCAGATCTGCTTTTGCTCACAGGGGAGATAAGCAAGAGGCACTTCTTAAAGCTGATCCCTGTCCTGACCTTCATCCTCTGTGAGGCTTTTTTTTTTGGGCAGCTGTAGTAGTAAAGGTTAAACTGCAACACAAACAAACAGAGCAGCTTTTCCTCAGCCTGAATCATCCAAGTGGTGCAGGTTTGCCATTTATCCATAAATACCCTGACAGCTCATTATCCAGGCATGAATACTGGATGCCTATGATACACTTGACTCCAAAAAAGAAGTCAAAAAACCAAACAAGCCCAAAACAACAACCGCCTTAATTTCAGACAAAACAGGATGTACAATTTTATTCCTGCACGGAGCTGCTTTATATTTATTGCCTCTAAACTTCTGGGGAGGGAAAGAGGGCTGGAACTTCCTTTTAAACTTGTAATTAATTGTTTGCAGAGGAAAAAAAGAAAGGAAAAAAAAAAAGGCAAAGCCCTTTGAAATGTTTCCACTTTAAACCGGAGCTGAATGTGCCGCAGAGGCCCTGGCTGTTTGTTCCTGGGAAGTGCCCAGCTGGGGATGTGTGGCCACCCTGGGCAAGCCCAGATGTGGCTGAGCATCCCTTGGAAGGGGAAGGTGGAGGTACCTGCCACCACCCTGAGCAAGCAGTGCCCAAATCCCAGAGCCATCTTCCAGCATGGCCACGCAGCTGCTTTTCAAATGCTTTTTCTTTTTGGTGCGTGCATCGCTTTTTGTTTTGTAGATGAAGGGATGTCTGTGTGCTAAAGAAAGGGGTTCTTCATATTTAAAAAAAAAAAAAAGGTGGGGAGGGGAAAGTAGAAAAACTGGTGTCTTTGGAACCGTCAGCTCCAAGGGCAGAGGGGTTACTCAAGGCCACCCATTGCCAGCTGAAAGCCCGAGTGCACAGTGAGGAGCTGCATTTAGGAAAAATCTGTGCTGCTGCTCAGTTTGGTGCAACAGCAACATCTCCCTTTAGAGAAGGGATGAACGGGGACAGCTGCCTCCACACTGTGGTCCAGGATGGGTGTGGACCGCCAGCTCAAAGCACATGGAGCTGCCACTGGGAGGTCAGCTGGTTTTTGGGTCAAGATATGGGCCAAAGAAAGAGGGCCAGGGAGGCCCTGGGAGACAGGGCTGTGTCTTGGGGAGGGCAGTGAAGCGCCCTGCTAAATGAGCTCTTTGTTTTTGGGCAGCCGGTGCTGGCAGAGTCAGGGGAAAGCTGACATGGAAACTCGCTTGGGAACTCCTGTGGCCAGGGATGGACGGCTCCGCCTGACAGCAGCTCTGCATGGTGAGGCTCTATGCCACTTGTGTAAGTTTTAATCCAACACGAGGTCCTTTAATCCGTCTTGGCTTCGAAAGAGCCAGTTTGCAAGGGTGGGGAGCATGTGCCACTCCTCCGGAGTTACGGGCGGCCGTGGGTGGAAAACAAGCTCCCTTTGAGGGCAGGTTTGCGATGGCACCGCAAACCGTCGGCGGCGCACAGGGCTTGCCTGGCTGAGGGGAGGGGTAAAGGCTGCCAGCCCGAGTGTGGGGAAACCAAAACAGAGGGGTTGCCTTGGCAATGCTGGCTTGTCCACATCCTGTGCACTGCAGAGCGACCGCAACCGGGGATGGAGGTAGAGTTTGCAGAAAAGCTGCAGTTTGCTAGAAACTGCTACGCTGGGTCACCATGGCAGAGGGGAGAGAGCTGGAGGTGTTTCAGGACCTGATTTTGCTGGTTAAGGTCTTTAGGCTCAACCCTCAACAGGCTCTTATGTCTGCATGAAGTTCCCTCCAGCCTAACAAAGCTCAACCTGCTCCTCTCAGCTGAGATGCTGCCTGGCTCAGGCAGGAATGGGGCTGCTCTGAGGTGCCCCCTGCACCCATGGTGAGAGCAGGGGTAGCTCCGGGGGACAACTGACAACTTGCTAAGTAGTGCAGAGCAGGAATCACGTTATTAAACACAACCATTTCCTTCTGTTACTGGCTTTATGTCAGCTTTATACCGACTTTCCATGGCACTGACAGCTGTGGGTCAGTCTGGGAGAGGCTAATTTCTCTGTTGCAGCCTGTGAGCTCCCTGATACACCCAGCAGAGACACAGCTGTGCTGTCACACGAGTGGCATCTCTTTTTCCCCACTTGCACCTGCAGACTTAAAGGAAAACTGGATGAAACCTGACACCGAGGGTGTGCAGTTTCCTTAGCAAGGATTGCACGTTGCTGTTTCGGAAATGGTGACTAAGAAGAGTTTTGCCGTCGATCTCCCAGAACTCACAGCAAGCTACGGAGACCTTCCTCACACGTAAAAAGCAAACACCAAAAGCCACCACCCAGCAAACACGACCAGCTACAGCTTCGTCTCATTCCCACCACCATCAAACCTTCCTGCCAGAAGCCGCGCGTGGATTCTTTCATCCCCTAAAGGGAGCGATTTGGAAAACTACTGATACGAACGTTGGATAAGAGGGTTAAAGTGAAACTATTTTGCAAGCTGCCGCCTGGAGCCCACTCGGCATCACCGGCTGCACACGCGCGGCTGCCGTCGGCCCGGGATCGCGGCGACTCTGGCCAAGAGACCAGCTTTGAGTTTAGGTGAGCGCCACTGTCACCCCCGGCAGCACCGGGAGCTCCTCTGAGCCGTCCCGGGCTCCCCCAAACTACGGTACAGGCAGTGCAGGCGGGCAGCAGCCCCCACCCGTGGCCCTCACTGGGGTGGATCGCGTGTGGTTTTGGTCACAAGAGGCTCAGAGGGCTGTCGGAGAACTTGTGGCTGCCCCATCCCCGGAAATGTTCAGGGCCGGGTTAGACAGCAGGTTGGAGCAACCTGGTCTGGCAGAAGGTGTCCCCTGTTCCACGGCAGGGGGGTTGGAACTAGGTGGTCTTTAAGGCCCCGTCAAACCCAAACAGTTCTAGGATTCTGTGCTGTTCAAAACGTGTGAATGCAGCCTCCGGCTCCGGTGCCCCGAACCCCCGGTGATGGGCAGGCCGCCCCTGACACACCTTCCCTGAGAACTTGTCGCTCCTCATCGCCATTTCCCCAGTGCCACCGTCCCCACCGCCCCTGCCCCGGTGCCCACCCCACTTCACCCCACGAAGCAGAAGAGTTGTCCTTAAAAACTTTTTTTTTTTTTTTTTTTTAAATAAGAGGAAAGCCCTGGATTTGGGTAACACAAAGCCGAGGATAACGCCCAGGAAAGCCCAGCCCTGGGACCCCCCTCCCGGGTACCCCCCCGACTTACCTCTGTGCCGCAGCCCCGTCCCGGCAGCTGCTCCGGCGGCCGGAGGAAATGGGACGGCCCGTCCCGTCCCGTGGAGTCCCGCCCGCCCCCGCCCCTGGCCCGGCCCCGCCGCCCGCCCGGCCCCACCTGGGGCTGCCCCCCCGCCACGGCCCCGCGTGTCCCATCACGGAACCCCAAAACTGCGAGGGGGGGGCACACCCCGGGCGCTGCCAGGCTGAGGGGTTAGGCTGGGAGAGAGGCGGGGAGGGGGCACAAACCGGCCCCGAAGCTGCTGGGGGGAGGGAGGGAACCAAGTGTTTCCCTCGCTTTGGTGCAGCGCAGGTTTGCCAAGAAGCGGTTTTGGAGGACAGCAGGGAGGGTTGCGGGGTGGCGATGCTGCTTCTGTAGTGGGGAGGACAGGGTAGAGCTCCAGCTCCCCAAGAGTGGTGACAGGAGTGCCACCCTGTGCCCTGTGACCACTGCCACCCTGTACCCCATCACTGCCACCCTGCATCCTATCACCACTGCCACCCTGCCACCACCACCCTGAACCCTGTCAGCACTGCCATCCTGCACATCACCACTGCCACCCTGCATCCTGCCACCACCATCCTGAACCCTGTCACCACTGCCATCCTGCACCACATCACCACTGCCACCCTGCATCCTGCCACCACTGCCACCCTGCATCCTGCCACCACCACCCTGAACCCCGTCACCACTGCCATCCTGCACCACACCACCACTGCCACCCTGGACCCTGCCACCACCACCCTGAACCCTGTCACCACTGCCACCCTGCACCCTGCCACCACCACCCTGAACCCCGTCACCACTGCCATCCTGCACCACATCACCACTGTCACCCTGCACCCTGTCACTGCCTCCTTGTACCCTGTACCCACCTGCACCCTGCTACTGCCACCCTGAACCTGGTCACCACCTCCCCACGCGTTGTCACCCCTACACTGCCCTGATATCCACCCTCTGTCCCTGGGAGGGGGATACTGCAGCCAAGCAGGAGGTGATGGAGCATCCCCACGGGAGGGGACACCCTGGGGGCTGCCCCTACACCCGGCAGCACTATGGGTGCTGTACACCCATGGATCATGAAGGATGTTTCAGCCCAGGAAGGGGGTTAGTGGCAGCCTTGGCAGTGCTGGGTTAAGAGTTGGACTCGATGATCTCAGAGGGCTTTTCTGACCTAAATGATTCTATGATTCAATATTTTTAAACTGTGATTCTGGTTCCATTAGGATTTCTAACCCCACCCTTCACTTGCTGCTTTCTCTCCATCTCATTTCTTTTTATCTCCACGTTGGGGATATCCAGGAATCACCGGATCCCATCTGCTTTCCAGTCTGGGGGCTGAGCAGCCTCCATGCAGCGTTGTGGTGCTGACAGCTGGGCAAGCTGCGACTAGAAAAATGTTTTACTGGAATTTTTCTGGTTGGCTCGAATCCTTTTGGATTGCAAAACCCCCACACTTGCCCTCCTTGCCCTCCTTCATGCTCCAGAGCCGGCAGCTTTGCTTTTCTGCTTCAGCCTTGGCACCGACTTGTCAGGCTGGGGTAGCCAGGGCTGCTTGACCCTTCAAGGCTGCTGGAAAACAGCCCCATGTTCCCAGTGCTGTGCCTTGGCAGCACCAGGACCAATGCTGTGGTGGGAATAGGAGGGAAGCGGGACAGAGAGGAGGGTGGAGGGATGGAGGCAAGTTGTCTGCCAGCCTCTACTGCCCTCCCTGCTGCTGCCTTCACCCTCCTGCTGGGGCCAGAGGGGTGAGAGACCCCCAGAAACACACATTGTAGGCTACAGCTTGTGCTAAGCACCAGGTTGTAGCCTTTGGGAAGGTATTTGTGTCCTGTGGGAAGCACCAAACCTTTTTCCCTGAAGAATTGCTGCTTGTTAACACCATGAACTTTTCCCTTGGTTTGATGTTGCAGAATGAAGATCCCTAGCCTTTGTATCTTGTTTGTGGCTCATTGCATCCCAGCTTACCTCACTCTGGCTCACCCCATTCCATATCTCCATGTCCCAGCTCACCCCATCCTGTCCCCTCATCCTATCCCAGCTCACCCCATCCTGTCTCTCCCTGCCATATCTCACCCCATCCCACCTCTTTCCCCTCACTGAGCTGCAGCCCTTTCCTCGTTTGCAGGTACCAAATCCTCCTATTAAAACCACCTTCCCAGGGCACACAGGAGCCACCGGGGTGCTGACAGTCACCTGAGGGACACCTGGCCCCTGTACAGCACCAGATGGGATAACACCACCTCTGAAACTCCGCTCACAGGATCACCTGGAAGTATTTATTATCAGAGCTCTCCAAGGGTGAGCATGGCTGGAAGCACCAGGCTCGGGGTGCCCATCCCTGGGATTGGGGGTTGAAAGCCTTGTCTGTCCTCAGTGCCTGGGAGATTTGCTTTGTTCCCTGGGCAAACAGCCCTGCTGGGGCTCTGGCTTTCTTGTCACTAATTTAATTTGGCAGGGGCCTCACCGAGGGAGGAGCTGCCAGTCTGGGCACCTTCCCCAGATTTTGGGGGGCCCCTCTGAGCACGGTGCTTCAGCAGCCTCTTGGCTTCAGGCAGGAGCATTGTGGTGACGTGGCAGAGGTGGTGGGCACTGACAGTACTGATGTCTTGGGATGCTGCTGCCTGTAGAGGAGAGTCTTGATGCCATCGAGGATAGTGATACCATTAAGCTGAGTTGGGAAGCACTGGATAGACTTTAAGGAAACTTAGAATTAATGCAAGAATATACAAATATAATCAGTCAGACCGCTGTCTAATGCAGCATGCTCTTCCCCATAACTGACCTTTAAAGGTTGCTTCCAACCCAAACTGTTCTGTGATTCCACAGTGGTCCATAGGAGACGCTTTGAACGAATCTAAACACTATTTGATGCCTGACCTTGTGAATATCTTCTGCAGCAAGGAGTTCCACAGCTCCTTTCCACGTGGAGCGGATAAAAGGTACGTTTCGGGGGGGGGATTGTTGAACCTGCCACCTCTGAGTTTTGTTTGGCATGCAGCATATCTGGGCTCCAAGGAATAGTGCTTTGTTTCTCAGAAACTTTACTGGGCGGGAGGAAGCCGTGACTCAGGCGCTGATGAATCACTGCAGCTCCTGATTATGCGTCTCCCTGCTTGCTGGTGCCCCTCAAGCACAGGAGCCCAGTGAGCCCACGCCAGGCCAGCTCCTGTCACATCATGGGATGTCGGTCTGAGCTCAGGCCTGGGACCAGCCGAAAATCAAATCCCACCTCCAGCCAGTTTTCCATCCGTCCTTCCCCAACTCCTTATTTCCATGTGAGATGAAAGGCTTTTCCATGCTGAAAAGCCCCCCTGATAATTTCCATTTCCTCCCAAGTTCCTTCAACCCCTAATTTAATGTGGAAAACACTACTCATTTTGCACTGAAAATAGAAACACTCTCTTGCTTCCCGCTTGTTTCATTGGATTCAGCTGATTTATTTACCAGTTTGCCCCATTACACAGCTGGGAGCTTCACTCTTGCCTTGAAAACAGCCAGCTGGTACCCAGGGCCAGTTTATTTGGGCTTTTCTCGGCATGGTGGGATGGGAGGAGAAGCAAAGTTACTGCAGACATGATCACACCTTTCTTCCCAGCTGCTTCCTCTGCTCGTGATTTCTGTTTGCAGACACTAGTCTGGCTTAAAGTAAGCAATGGAAAACTCTGCTCCCGGAGAAACATTCCTCTCATTTTTCCCCTATGCTTCTGCTTTTTCCCCTCCCTCTCCCCCTCCCACAAAAAAGGCTGCAGTTTAAACACCAAAAATAACACACGCCTTGTCGTGGGCTGGTTAAAAATAGCAGCTCTTGGTATTTACTTTAGCAGCAGCAATGGGTTTTCTGGCTTTGGAGGAGAATGGGGAGTAGGGATGGGGTGGGATGCAATGGGACGGTGACCCTTGGAGGGGGGTGGAGGACAGAAACAAAGCTGATATTTTGGGGAGAGCTGCTTCATCCTCTCCCTTGGTCGGCACCTGTTGGGCTCTGTCCCCTCTGAGAAGGGGGAAGCTCTGGGGGTGGGTTGGGCTCAGGTGTCCCAGTCCCACCTGGGTCCCACCTTGGGCTGGTTTGGGGCTGCCCTTAAGTGTTGGGGCTCAGTCCCATGTAAGGAGTGATGTGGACAAATGCTGCTCTTAGGGGAAATGCCCCAAAACCAGTGAGTTTTTGGGGTGCCTCTTCCCCACCCGTCACCTGGGAGGCTTTGCAGCTGGGCTTGCTGAGTTGTGTCCGGATCTGTGGAATCCTCCCTCCCTAGGGGAGAGGAATGCCGGGGTGGGGAGCGAGGTGAGGTCCTCAGGTGCCTTCTCAAATCCTGCTTGATGCTTGCGTTGAGAAATCTGGGGTACAGGGACCTGCGAGGGGCTGAGGAGGAGGAGGAGGGTACGTGTCTGCTCAGGGCATGTTTTGGTGTTCGAGAGGAGAGTGATGGGGCTTTGTGTTGGTTTAGAGCTGATTGTTTTGTGTGCGTGAGCCTTCAGGAACTCCTTCCTGAGGAAATCCTACGGGCAGCACTGATGGCAGGCGAGGGGGAGAGGAGACACCCCAGGGGGTGGGGAAAGTGCCAGGCGTGGGCGAGTCCCGGCAGCGTGACGTAGTGCCTTCCCGTTTAGGAACGGCTCAAGGATCAGTTACGTGAAGGCCAGGGGAGGAAAAACCCGTTGGTGAACGGGGGTGCTCCTTTCCTCAGCATGGAAATGGGGTCACCAGCAGCATCCAGGATTTTGTGGAAGGTGTGAACCAAAGGCAGAGGAGTGAGTGACGCTCGGGCACAGCCCGGTGCCCCCAAGGACCAGTGTGTGTGCCCAGTTGTGGGAGGTGGTGGCTCGTGCCTCCTCCTGGAGCAGCCGCTCCTAGGGGTGTCCCATGCCAGATGAGCGTCAGATCTGATCTGCCCAGGTTGATTTTTAGGTGAAAAACTAGTGGTGCCAGCTGTCCCCTCTGGCACAGTCCTTCCTTAGGCTCAGCCTCACGATGCTGAGGAGCAATCAGTGGCTGCCCCTTGGTGCCGGCTGAGCCGGGCAGGGAGAGCCAATCCTGCTTTTAAATGAAAAGCAGCTGCCAAATTATTATTAGTATTTTGATTATTTTTATTATCTGTTCCTCTCCATAAGCCACTGCCATGGGGGAAGCTGTTCCCAGAGATCTGTGGTGAGCTGATGTCCCTCGGCTCAGGAGAGCATGAGGATTTTGGCTGGTGGCACTGGAGCAGTTGGGATGTTCTGTGCTACCCTTGGGGCTTAGCTCCTGCCTGGGAATGGGACTCTTTGACCTTTGCCCTTCACAGTTCAAAGTCTTCCCGCTCCTCATCTTGTTTGCTACCAGGGGCTTCGTGAGGAGGATGCAGCTGGGTGTCAGGGCTTGGTGGGCCCTCTCCCACCCCCCAGGAGGGAACCGAGAGCGAAATGCAAATCGTGGTGGGTGAAAGAGGGAAAAAACACCCAAGACCTTTCTCCTGGGGTTGTTTGGCCTCTTTCTGCCTCTCTGTGAGGGAGAGAAGGTTCCTGTATTTGGAGGGGCAAAGTCCCCCTCAGGAAGGGGGGAGAGGCAGCCTTTGGGTTGAGGTTGAGGAACCGATACGAGGGGGAAACAGGCAGATGCCGGCTGTTTTTGGCATGACTGGAGTGCAACAAGGGGCCGTGGGACCAGGAGGAGGGACAGAGCCTGTCCCCAGGAGCAGGGGGACAGTGCTGCCAGTGATACTCCTCCAGCCCCATCCCCTCTGCTGCTCCTCTCCCAGCTGCCTGCTTCCAACGCCTGCTCCTGAAATTCTTACAGGGAGGATTTCCCACTTCATCCCCCTCCTTCTCTCACTTTTAGGGAGGATTTTTCTCATAACCATTTGCAGAGTTACTTCCTTCAGCCCCCTCTTTTGTTGTGGTGTCACCAAATGCAGGGGACAGTGTGAGGACAAGGGTGTGTGTTGTGGTGAACAGAGGCAGCTTGTGTTTCCCACCACATCCTGGTGTGCTCCGCCCTGCCGGCCAGCAGCCCTGCTGGGCCCTGCCGAGGAGCAGTGCTGGGAGATAACCTGGCTGGGAGCAAGAGGATTAGCCATGCTGCTGGGAATAAGCCTGCTGTGGGAGGGCTGCAAACCTTGACATCCCTACTGACAGCAGAAAGCAATCCAAAACACTGGGAGAGAGAGAAGCGCTGCTGTAAGGATGTCCCTCATCACAGCCAGGATCTTGTCTCAAATATGATGTATTTGATGAGGATTTTTTAGCAGCCTTCCATTGCCTAAAGGGGCTCTTAAGAGAGCTGGAGAGGGACTTTGGACAAGGACCTGGAATGACAGGACAAGGGGGGATGGCTTCACACTGACAGAGAGCAGGTTTGGATTGAATATTAGGAAGAAATTCTTCCCTGTGAGGGTGGTGAGGCACTGGCACAGGTTGCCCAGAGAAGCTGTGGCTGCCCCTTCCCTGGAAGTGTCCAAGGCCAGGTTGAATGGAACTCTGAGCAGCCTGGTCTAGTGGAAGGTGTCCCTGCCATGGGCAGGGGCTTGGAACTAGATGATATTTGAAGGTCCTTCCCAATCCAACTCTAGGATTGATTCTATGCTTATTGAAACAAGTTAGAAGCAGAAAAATTGCTGGCTGTAGTGCAGGAAAGGGGTATAAGCCTGTGGGCTGCTACTCACAGCACTCCTCTTCCCAGGATGAGAGGACAAATCAATGAAATTTAAAAGCCCCACATTTAGATTTGATTAAAATAGATAATTCATAACTTTTTTTTACACTCTACATAACTAAGCTTTAAAGCTTGTAACCCTAGGAGTTAAAATATAAAAACGGGAATGAGGATTTTAAAGGGATGATAAAAACATCCAGTCTTACGAGGAGGAATTAAAATCTGAAAATGTTAAAGATGGTGCTGTAAAAATCCCATCCCTCAGGGTATAAAGCAGCTGTGAATTTGTGGCACAAGGCTGCCCCTTCATCGACCTGCTCCAGCCTTGCTCCTGCAGGCATTGCCCCTCTTCCTGCCGTGCTCCTGGTTGAGCGTTTCCCTCGGGGTTTTGGGAGCCGAGGTTGCAGGTTGTGTTGTTGGGAATGTGTTGCTCGAGCTCTGGGTTTGGGATGGGTGCCCAAGGTCCTTGCTGAGGACCTTTGCTCCACCAGCAAACATCAGCAGGGTGTACAAAGTTCCCGAGCATCGCTCATGCAAGAAGGGGACTTTGTGAGAGGGCTGTGATGAAATATCCCTGTATAAAGTGCAGCTGGGGGGGGCTGTGATGCTCTATGGGGTGTGAAGTGCCCGAGGAGGAATGTGGTGTGCCCGGGAAGGCATGCTCCTTGGAGAGCCTGGAAATGTGAGATCCCACCACGTGTGGTACTGCAGGACTGTGTCTAGATTATAGCGATGGCTTCGAGCTGCGCAAGGGCAGAGGGGGCCAGAGCCACGAGGGCACCTGTGATGGGGCAGGAGCTCCCCAGGGGTCAGTGTAGGGAGCAAAACGCCTCCCTGGCTTAAGTAAAACTTGGGGCACTTAGGAAAGGGCTTGTGCCAGCCCTCACCCCCTTCCCATCCCATTTGAAACATGGAGTTGGGATGTGACTCTCGTTTTGGGAGGTGGGTTATGGTCCAGAGGGACACTGTAGCTCCCCACGCACCTGCCTTCTCTGGGTACCACCCTCTGAGTGATATGTGCCTACCTCTTGAGATTGGTTATTGCAATAGGTGGACTGTGTGTCCTCCAGGGGAGCTTTTTTTGGGGTGCTCTGCAGGAAATGGAGGTGCTGGGGGCCTCACTTGGCCCCAGATGTGCTGAATGAGGGTTGCAGTGGAGGGTACTGCTCTCCTCTAAGGGACCAGAAATGAAACCCACTGAGTTAGGTCAGCTGCTTGGCCAAGCTTGGCGAGACTGGGATGACAGGTGCTGGTGCAGGTAACCCTTCCTCCCATTCCAACCCCATCTCCATCCCTCAGCTCCTCCACCCACAGGGGAGAGCCTCTGGGCTTGCCTGAAGGGTCTTCCGTGGCATTGACTCCCTTCAGACACAAAGAAGTTCATTTAATCCGGACAGTTGAGTCCCTCAGGCTTCAGGCTTGGCTTTGGGTGTACTGAGGGTCGTGACCACGGCGGGGGATCCCCAACGCCCACAACTTCCCTTCTTTGTGTCTCGCAAATCGGACCGAGAAAGAGAAGTTGAGAAGCTGCTGCAAAGCAAACTCCCCTGTTTTGTCTCTCTGAAATTAAATTTAGAAAATATTGAAGTGGTGTGGCGGAAGAGCTTCTTTCAGGCTTTCTCATCCTGTCTGGCTACGTGTCAAACAAGAAAACCTAAGATGAGGAGGTTTAAATAAAGTCTGTGTGTGAAATGAGAGGAGAGTTTCAAAATCTTCTGAAAGTCATACTTGTCCCAGTGAGTTTTGCTAATCAGCTTTGGGGTTTTGTTTGTTTTTTCTTTTTTTATTTTCCACTGGGATCGTGTTCTTCTGAAACTAGCCTTCCAATCTGTTTTTTTGGTGAGGTTTCCATCACGTAGGGAATAGATTGCTGTTTAAATTGGGAGAATGGCTGTGACTGAAGATTTCAGGGTTGTTTCTCTCCGCTCCCAAGCATTCATACCACTGCTTTGCTTTCTCTGGCTGGAAACTGCAGAGCCAAGAGCCTCTCTAGCTCGTGGGAGCAGCTAAAATTATTACCAAAACATCATGTGCTGGGCTGAGGCCAAAGTGCAGCTCCCTGCCTTCCTGGGGTTAATGGATTGGCTGCACTGACCTGTCTTCATGGTCACTTTATTGCTATTTTTTTAACAGTATAGTTGGGGCAGGGGGGACTTGGGAGCCTCTGGTCTTGCCTCCTGCCCAAGACAGCCCTGGGTTTGGATGGGGTTGCTCAAGACTTTCTCCAACCACCTACAAGGATGGAGATGCCAAACTTGGGCTGCCCCAAAACTTCCTCTGTTTTTTTTTATCCCACTGCATGTGCTTGGTCTCTCATCTGGCTCTGTTCCTCCAGGTTCAAAGGTGAATCTGTGCTAACAAGCCCCCCCACGGTCCTTCTACCATGGGATAACCAAGGATGAGGGACAGGACATGCATGTCCTCTCTTGGCACGAGGTCGGGGCTGTGATGCTGCTGGGCTTGGATGTACCAGGACCCTGTTGCCATCCCACTCCCAGACAGGCACACAGCTCACTCCTTCAGTATCTTTTATTAATGTATAGAAAATGCATTAAAAAAAGGAACTATACATAGCCTAAGAGCGGTCAGGACTAAAAATACTAGTTAACAATGGTTAACAAGCGTCGATCCCATTCTCCGAGCTACGTTCTCATTACAGGGTGGGGAGGGTTGTTTAATATATTATTTATTTATATTATTTATTTTATTTATGCATTTATTTGCTTTCCTCTTCCCCCTCATTTGGTTGCATTGGTTTGTGTTTGAGTTCATCAGAACCTGTCCGAGGCATTTCGTTGCCTCTGTTCTCCCTCCGTATTTATGGTTTTAAATTTTTTTTTAATGTATTAAATGCGTTTCCAGGGTAACAGAGGGGGCTGCTTGTTTGTTTGTTTAGGTCTTTGTGTCACCTTCTTTCTGAGAAGCCACGGACATCTGGAGAGCTGCAGGCAGAGTATGGAGGTGGGTCTGGGCATCGGGATCTCCCCAGGGAAGGGCCTTTCCCTTCCCCTTAAGCCAAAACTCCCCTCTGGAAGGGGCAAGGAGCTGCCACCACCATCAGGGTTTAAGGAAGGGGGAAGGTGACCCTGGAGGGTGCTGGTGGTCCCCAAGGGGCTCTGTTGGATTTAATGGCCATCCCAGGGTGCTTGGTTTGAAGAAACAGGGATGGGCTTCTCGCTTGGCCTCGGGACAGAGCCCTTTGTTAGTGGGTGTAAGCATGAATTAAAGGGGATTTTTTGGGTGAGAGCTCTTTGCTGGCAGTGTCTGGTAAAGTCAAAACTTGTGGGTGTTTCTGGGGGGAACAGGGCAGGGTGTGTGCAGTCACCCCAAGGTGTGATGGTGGGGACATACCAGGAGGGCAGCTCTGGGTTGGGATGAAGGGCATGTGCTGGTGTGGTGATGCACCAGGCAGGTATTTTGGCTCCTGATGTATTTTGGCAGGTCACTCTGAGCCTGTTATGGGCATGGGGACACCATTGGCTGAGCCCTCACCTGCCACACCACTGGGGATGAAAGTGGCATGAGCTGTGCTTTCCACACCCTGGCACTTCACCTGGGGTAAGCATCACTTTGGGAAGGAGGGAAGAGGTTGGGGCGAGGGTGCATTTAATCTGGTACTATGTTTTGAGATGCCCATGGTAAAGTACTGCAAAGATAAGGAGTAGAAGCAAAGCCTTCTCCCCAGCCTTTGTGTGGATACTCTTCCAGTATCCTCCTGCCAAAACCCAGCTACCCTTGGGGAAAGCCTAACCTCTCTCCTCAAAATTATTAATTTATAAATTGCTGTCTTAAGGATCACTTTGCTAAAAGCAGCTTTTCCTTTCAGGACATTTCTTTTTTTCTTTGGTTATGTTTTAGTGCAGTGTGCGTTTGGAAGGTGGGCTTGGAGAAGGGAAACAGAGGGAAATGAAAACTGAGCAAGAGATGAGCAAGTCCCTTGGTGTTTCCTTACAGGATTTTGGGGTTAGAAATAAGAGCCGAGAGGGTCCTGGGTGCATGTGGTGTTCTGCTGTGTGGAGGATCTGATGTGCTTCTTCCTGCCTCCTGTCGGGTGAGGTGGCATCTCGCAGTGGCTAGAGTGGTTTGGGTGACAGCTTCAGGTTCCTTTTTGGGCTCTGGGACAAGCCTGGGCCACTCGAGCCCAGGATGGCACAGCAGAGCCACCAGAGCCCAGTGATGGTTCACGTGCTGGAGCCAAGGTCTCTCAAGATGAGCACTGCACAGGATCCAGGCTTGGTTTCTGGGAATTTCAAGGCCAGACTTGTCTGGTTCGAGAATGAATTCAGAGAAGGAGTGGTGGAGGGTGAGGAGAAACTGTACTTAATCACCTGCCGTTCTGTAGCATCAACAGTAAGCACAGATCTGCTTGAAACTGCTGTCAGGAGCTTTGTCCAAAAAAAAAAAAAAAAAAGAAAATTCATCAGGTAGTGATGAAAAATGAATTTCTGGAAAACTGTATCTTGTTTGTGGACAGTGTGAACAAGGGACAATGGCCCAAATGACCAGGTTGCTGATTGTGTGCCTGGGCTTGGGTGGGGTTATCACCAGGAGAAAACCATGATGTGTAGAAGTCTTTCCTTTAAAAGACTTAAGCAACTGTGTTTTACCAAGATAACGGAAAGACAACACCCTGGAATCACGTGTGAAGTCAGGGACCAGCACTTTATATATGTGGCATTGGAAGGTTGGATATTATCTCCCAAGAGTGCCCTTCATACTCAGCTATGGAGTTGGGTCAACTGGGCCAACTCATCTTGGTTACAGGACTTGTATCTCTCCCTCCTTCCTTGTGTCTGTCATCCCTTTTATATGTCAGTAAACCTGTGTAGTGAATAATCAGCCTTTATGAGGATCTCCTTTTGAACCTCCTGGAAAAGCTTGCCATGCTTTGATTTTCTGTTTGAGTCATACTTTTGGGAAGAGAGGTTTCTTGCCTTCAGCTTGGTTATGAATGATGAGCTCCAGTGTTTCCACTGATGTCTTTTCCTTTCACCTGGGTAGGTAAGTAAACAGCACCATCCAAACCAGGTGATGAATTCCATCCACTGCCAATCTCTGCTCCTAGTTATAACCACTGCACTGTACAGCTTTTCTTAGGACACTTCTTGACTATAAATTCTTGATGGTGTTGGGAAAAATTGCTCTGCCGGTCTACTAGGAGGCTTCTTAGTTTTCAGTCTGTTCCATCTGCTGCTTTTTGTTGGCTCTTGGGACTTAAAACAGGGCTGAGTGCTCAGGATGTGTGACATGCTGCCATCTGTGACACTGGCCATGTCCTGCAAGAGATCCCATCATCTGCAGCCTCTGACTGACCTGTTCATCAGCTGGTTGACTTGTTGCCTGATTTAATGCTGATGGGAAGTAAGAAGGGATGCCTCATTTACATATGAGATGTTGCTGAGCTACAGCATCCTCTCTCCAGGTCAGACTGCAGCTTGTAAGCTGGCCACGTGGGGGGCTGGACCCTGTGTCTAGTCTTGACCTTGGGGTTAGCAGTGATTCCGTGTGCCAGTACGTGGCACGGATGAGGAGGCTGCATTCCCCACTTAATGCCCCTCTTCAGCTCTGCAGCCATGGTGAGTAACGTCAGAACATTCAGGAGCGTGGCTGTGAAAGAGACACTGGCCTGAATTATAACTCACTGCAAAGATGCCTTTATGTTGCCATCTGGAAAATGTTTTTGAGACAAAGCAGCTTCAGTGTGATAAAAAGAAAACGCAGTGTTCAGCATTTGTAATGCTCCCTTGGCTGCGAACCCGGTGATGAGCTGCATTGTCCTTGGGCATGGGGACGTGTCCCTTCTCCAAGACCAGGCCAGTGACAATGCCCAGCATTGATCAGAGCCCTCGGCACAGGGGTGACTCGAGCATGGTGGCCACTTGGGCTATGTGGAGGTGGCGTCGATGACAACAGAGCACAGCCAGAGCTATCTGAAGGGTCCATCTTCCTTGAGACAGGAGAAGTTAAGGATGGGAAGAGCAAACTCATTAATTCTTCCAAGGGCCTTGAAGTGCTCCAAAATCTGAATGGACTAAGCCTTTCTTCCAAGAGGGGAAACAGTTGATTCCCTGTTAGAGAGATGGTGATACCAAGGCACTGAGATTTGTGTCCCTCTTCTGATGGCATAGAAGAGGGATGCTGTAGGAGAAGGAAGGGAATGTGAATTCCTCAGCTTGCACTTCTCTTCCCTTGGCTGCGTTATCATCATTCCCTGTGTGCACGGAGGTCCATGAACAGGAGCACCTGGGCTGTGACAGCTGTTGGCTTCAGCCTGGGCTGTGGTTGTGTGGTAACTTTTGGTTGCTGCTCCTTCTCTGAGACCCTTTGGTTTGGGACCAATGACCTTGGTGAGAGAGAGCATGGCAGAAACGTAAAAATAGCAGAGGAAATGGGCCCTAGGCTTCGGGGCCACAAGGAATGATTTTTCTCCCAGGTCTTCTAATTTAAGTCCTTTCTTCTGCATCAAGCTCAGCATAACCCAGGCCGACGTGCACCTGGAGCGGGACGAATTCAGCTCAGAGGAGTGGCTAATGCATGTTGGGGCTGGTGGAGCAGCTCTTGCTCCCCTACACCCCATGCCCACAAGGATGACTGTGGCTGTGGTGGGACCAACACACGAGCTGTGGACTCTCTGGAGTTTGCCTACATATGCAGGTATTTGCCAAGCCCTCTGGGTGGGATCTGTGAAAACTGGGGAGGGGGTGAGCCTTGCATTTGCTCATCCTCGCTTGGTCTCTAAGTGTTCAGAGGCTGCCCACAGGGGAGAGACGGGCCTCGGCCTGCTGGGAGAGTCGTGTCTACAGGATGGCATGAAGCCTGGGACCTCCCTGGCAGGAGGGGACACAAGGCAGGGAGAGGATGGGCACCCCTGGCCGTGACTGGCGTGGAAATGGCCGCACCAAGGTCCCTGTGGGGAAGGTTCCTGCCACAAGCCCCATGACAAACATTCTAACAGGGTTTGCTGGGGATTTCTACATCTTTTAAAAAAATATCAAAAAAATCTGTCTCTTTCTCTTTCTTCTCATGTTAAGGGTCAGAGTATTGGGTTAGGGAGACTGGAAATTTGGTATTTCTCTGGGACAGATGCAAAGCAATGAGGTCTTCCCTTCCCCACGGCCTTTCCTTGTGCCGTGGTTCCCTCCAGCATTTGTGAGGGGCAGGTTGCTATCTCAGACGAGTAGTAATTTTTTTTTTCCCTTTTCATATTATAAAATACAAACAAATGACAGAAAAGGTCAGGTGGTGGGAGGCAGGAGGGGGTTCAGCTGGCTCAGAGCTGTAGGGACCGTCGCTTCCTCCCAGAGACGTTACGGTGGTTGTAAGGTCGCATCTTCATTTCCACAAAGGGGATGGAGAACTCGTGGCCTTTCCAATGGTACCAGTTAATCCCCTGGCAGGAGGGAGAGAAAGGCAGAGGGTAAAGAAAGACCCTAAGAAGAAACTAGTTTCTTCTAAAGAAGAAATTAGAGTGGGAGAGGAAGGAAATAAGGTTGACTGCTGTAGAGAAGCCAGAAGGAAGAACTTGCTACAGCAGGAGCAAGAAACTCTCCTGCTGCTATGGCTTGACTGTTTTTTTTCCCCTCACTGCTCAAAGGCTTCTGATCAAATTTCACGTAGGTATTTTTTTTTTTTAAGGCAACACAACAAGATGCCACAGCAAATGACCGTGGCAGCCACTCTGAGGCACAAAGCATCAGCTCCCTTTGCTCCAGCTGGTGTGGGGTTACCCCAGCAGTGCCCCTGACCTGGTGCAGCGACCACGCAGCCCCAGCCCCTAGAAGAAATGCCAGGGGGTTTCACGGCAGCCCTGCCCTTACCTGGCTGTGCCGGGACTCTCCGTACTTGCCGTTGAGGTTGGTGCGGTGGCAGTTCTTGTACCACCAGGCCCCTTTGTAGGACATGGCACAGTTGGTCACGGCAACGTCGTTGTCCCTGTCCTTGGTGGAGAAGGGGCGGCCCTGGTGATAGGTGAGGGAGTCCCCTGTGGAAAGAGCGGCCATTAAAGGTGATGGATTCTGAGCTGTCTGGTCTTTTCACAAGGAAATTAGGATATTCTGGTTACGTGGTAGCCTCCCAATGAATGGCTCAAGCAGCTGACAGTCTGGGGATAACATTAACTGGAGTTGCTCACAACTGGTTCATCTGAGGTCCTCTGCTGTCTGTTTAGGATCAGTGCAGACCATAGCAAATCTCAGAGGCTGCTTGTCTTTGTCAGATAAAGTGCTATATGGGTTTGGATCTGAATTTGAGTGTTCCAGAAATTAATTCAATCCCAGATTTTGGCATCCGTGATTTCCTGAGGCTTGGCTCTGCTATATAATTTCAGGATGCTTTCAGCCTCCTACCCTCCTGGTAGCCAAAGGGAGTTTTTTTCTCCCAGAGGAGACCCAGCATTCATGTCTTGAACCAAGATGCTTGGCCACCTTTTCTCCTCTGGGATAAGAGGAAGAAGTTTTGGGAAGGTGTGTGATGTTCCTCTAAACACACCAACCTCATTTTACCTCTTGGCTAAGGAGCTAGAGAGCTGCTTTTGGGTGAAAGAAAAGTCAAAGTAAAATAGGGTCATTATTACAATTGGGTGATGTACTTACAGGAGACATTCTTAATACACTCCTTGGTGGTCCTGAAAGTTCCCTGTCACTTCTCTTCCAGTGGCTATTACCAGTTATTGAACAGGAAAATTCCTGCATCTCAGGTGTGGTGTGGGGTTCCTTGCTAAGTACCTGGTGGTGAAGTTTTGTCATGGAGGCCTGTGCTGGGCATGTCTATCCCAGCTTAAAGGGCTGCAGTTGTTCCCCTTTCCCCCTTCTTGGGGAAGAAACTCCCCCCGTGCTCTTCCTCCATCACCCTCTGTTTTCTGGTGGGCAAAGCCTAACTCTCCTGCATCAACCAAGCAAGCAGGTGTGCCAGTGTCCTTGCCAAGCTGGCCAGTGTTTGGCCTCTGCGTGAGGAAATGACGCAGAAGATTTCAGATTTTTCCATAGCTGTGGAAAGGCGATAAATACACCCTCCAGCACGGCATCAATAGCCAGCTGCCGTTATTGCCAAGTGGGATGACACCTCTGATGACTGACCCGGTTATTTGAACAGCAGTGTCTCTGATATTAAATATCTAATCCCCAATGGAAAATTCCCTGTGTACTTAGTGGGTTTTATCAGCCTGGTTTACATGATGGACTGCAGGAAGGCAGAAAGGACTATGGGTTTGTGTCTTGCTGCTCTAAACAAGTCAGCCTTGCAACAACATGTTGGGATTTCCTTTACAGTCTCAGACCCACGGGCCCCAGGGTTCCCCCAGATCCTTGCCAGCCGTGAGGCTGTACCTGAAGTGCCATTGTAGTCCCCGATTCGCAGCTTGTACAGGCTGCGGGCGTCACCGATGGAGAACTTGTCGTAGTAGGCGTAGGCCGCTTCCTGACCGTCCCTCATGTCGATCCGCAGCTCATAGCGCCCCTGGGACGTGATCTTGTGGATGTTGTCCAAGCCTGTTGAGGCAAATAGTGAAACACCTGGTGAGACTCGGTGCCTGGATCCGCTCCGTGAGCAAACAGGGAAAGCTCTAAGCAAATAAGACAGCTGTGGGAAATGAGAGCGAGGAGAGGAATCGAAGAGCAGCAGCACTTCTGGTGAGTCTCTGTCTCTCCTGGCACTGCTGGGGCCTGAGCTCTCTGTCCTCACTCAAGTTTCACCTCTCTGCACCTAGGAGACATGAGTTCAAGGCCCGGGTTTAGCTTTCTCCCTGCTGCTGGAGCTGGGAACCTTCAGCTGTGGAGCGCTGGTGCTTCTTACATTGCTGTTAAGCTCCTGTACAAGCCAGAGTGTGTTTACGCTGCAGGGCTGGCCTTGGCTCCTGTTCAGGTTTCGGGGGAGCACACTCAATTTTAGAACTGTGCTGGGACTCCCACTCACTCCTTTCCTACTTTCTTTGGAAAACTGGCTTGCTGGCCAAGGCCACGAGCTGTAGATGTCACCAATGTAACCTGTAGTCATTGGATGAAGGGTTTGGTCCGTGAAAAGTCCCAGTGTACCCCTCTTTTCTTCTAGGACAAGCAAGTTAGGGAGCTGCTGACCTTCACCATGTGCTTTTACGTGACGTGTCCATGAGTGTCTTCTAATGTGAAGGGCAGGGAATGAACAGAAGGAAAACTGTCTGAGGGAGAGCGTAGAGGAATGTGGTGAAAGGCAGGGAGCCAGCAGCTGGCACAGGTGAGCAGCACAGTGCACAGGGAGCTTGGGTTTGACACCTCGATGAAAGACAACCAGTGAAGGTCATACCCAGCCAGAACTCATCCTCCAAGTTTCCAAAGCCAACCCGGTAATCTGCCCATTTCCGGAAGAAATCGGTCAGCCCGTTCTGCCGCCGCTGGAAGACCTGAGGTGGAGGAAGACCAGGGGGAAAATCAGTGTGATGGAGGCGAGGAATGTCTTTATTTTGTGTGTCCGAAGCCTAACAAAGATAATACTTCATCATTCCATTGTGCCTTTCAGGGGAGAAAATTGCAATGCCCATCCAGTTATTGTTAATTGCAGCCATGCAATTAATTCATGTGCAGATGGAGAAATAAAAGAGGTGTTAGATAATGTCCAAGGCAAATCAATGTGAGAATAGGAAGGAATTGGCCTTTGAGCTTTCTGCTCTACCCAACACATGGTGCCTCTGGTTTTCTAGCACATGATTCTGCTTTCAGCTGGCTATTTCTGTGATATCCAAGGGGATGCTCTGAAGCAGAGTGAGATGGAGGGAAATCTACTGGCTAGAAATCAGCATTTGAGGAAGCCCATTTTTTTTTGGTTTTGACTATACATCTAGCAGGGTTTTGTGTAACATGTGTAAGTGTTTGACATGAATAAGATCAAAGCACCATGGCATTATTTACTTATGCTGTCAGTCCATCTACGTCAAGACAAGCAGTGTTTGTGCAATTCAAAAGCCAAAGAGGCATTTGTTTCTAAAGTGCTCCTGTGCAGACTCAGCCGGGGTGATGCCTGACACCCTCCTACCGCAGGCAGCGTGAATCATTCCCCGTGAAAGCTACCGGCCATTAATTTCATTTCTAGAACAATAAATCAGCTTCGCTCACAGATTTTGCTCTCCAGAAGCACTGCAAACATGTCAAATAAATCAAAGGGCATTTCTCCAAGTGTAACTATTATTACCGGAGCGTGGGCCATTCCCCGTGGCGTGGGAAATGAAGCGTGCGATATGAAGCCTGCTGTCGTTCCCGCGCAGCGTGGGGCTTGGCTCTGCTGGTAGGATGAGGCTTGGCTACCCTGTGATGGGGACAACATGCAGGACAAGCCCACAGCTACTCACGATCCAGCCGCCTCCGTCGGTGGTCATGTCGCAGAACACCGGCACCCTCTGGCTGAGGTCCCCGTTGATGGAGATGGTGTAGACACCGCTCAGGGTGTCTCCGTTCATCAGGTGCTGGGCACAGTCCTGGGGGTTTGCGAACACACGTCCTCCTGCAAAATTAAAAAATTAAAAAAGGCAGAATTTAAGCAAAGAGATGCCTTTTCCCCCATGCCTCAGGCTCCACTGGTTGTGATCCAGGTAAGGCCTAACTTGGCTGCCGTGTCCCGAGTAATTCGGTGAGGCAGTGGGACTTTACACCTGCCATCAACATGAGAGGACTTAATGGAAAGAAATGTGTGCATAAATTAATTATCTCCCATATGTCCTATATTGGAGAGGTGCATGGTAACATCACTATGAATGATGAGGGATGTCACTTCTTGGACCATCTTTGTGCACCATGTCTGAAACCCTGGGGTTTAAGCTGTCACCAGCATATTTAGACAGCTGTGAAAATACCAAAACCTGTTCTCCTCTCAGGATTGCCAGCTCCAATCAAGTTTTATGACTTTCCTCGTTCCAAGGGGATTCTCCTGATTCTCCATGCCCTTGGAAATGACGGTGGACTTATGCTGAGCTAATTTTCACTTGCAAGTTGGGCAGGAATTAGGCTGTGTGAGATGCTAGAGACAGGCAGCATGGGCAGTGTGACTGTGCTACGGGTGTCCTCTAATGAGGAATCATCTCATTTGAGGGCCAGAGTTTAGGATAGTCCTAATTAGGAAACCCCCTCAGTATTGGAATGTCAGCTCTGGGCACAACTTTTTCTTATTTGATGCAAAAGAGGGAAACGCATCTTCTTCTTTGCTGTTGTTGCATATGGATGATGGAGTAAATAAGTGCAGAGCTGGAAATGTGGATGTGGCTTTCAAGGATGTCTCAGTCACACAGTGACAAGGTGTGAAGGACCTTCAATGCTGTGTGTGTCCATCACAATTGTGTGGTGCCCCATAGGACCAAGGTACAACCCTTGTCTGTTGCTTCCCACTTGGGTGTATTCCCCCTCCTTGTGACCTGAAGACTCGGAGGTCATTGCTTTGTCCAAATGTTGAAGATTCCCTATTTTTTTCATCTTCCTGGTCTGTAGTGCAGTGTCTGGGGAGACATTGTTTACATTTTATAGTATCCAACAATGAAAACTTCTTCAAAGACAATGAGTTTGGGCTCCCCTGAGCTCTGTGGAGATTGCTTGTTTCTTAATTTATATTCATATCTTTGAGAGCCAAGGAGACCTTGAAAGACATTTCAAACCCCTATAAATTATAAATACTGTATCTGTTTCTTCCTTTTGTCTCATCTGTGTACAATTCCCCAAGAACCTTATGCAAACATGAAACAAAAGAGGCCGAGCTATTAATATGTCAGAGGGAACAGAAGAACCCCGGGATGTGTACTGTAAGCAGAAGGAAGCAAAACAATTTAAATTAAGCCTGGATGTTTTTCTTTTTTTAAAATTTTTTTTAGTGACTTCTTGAAGACAAGTCCTTGTTCTCAGCAAAGTGTCCTGATGCACTGCCAGAGTAAATTGAATCCCAGATCTTGATGCTTCACTCAGGGGTGCGTCCATGGATTGCATTGCCTTGGTGATAGTTCCTGGGTGCTTCTGTCTCATTGATATTGGGGTAAGTGGGGAGAAGCTGTTTTCTTGCTGATGCTTTTCTTCATCTTAAAAGCAAATTAAACCTGTGCTGGATGCTGCATCAGCTGGCAAGGGTGACTCTAATGCTGCTGAGGTCTGACGTTTGTGTTCGATGGAAAAGGTGCTCTGCTTGCCTGCTGTGACTGGATTTCTGCTGCTTTATCCCAGCTGAGAAGTCACCCCTGTGCAGCTTCATCCCTGACTCCCAAACAGCCTCAAAGATTAGATGCATATGTCCATCACCTGCCTGAATTGCACTGGCCTTATGTGCCCATGTAAGAGGCAAGAATAACAGGAAAGCCTGTTCAATAGATGCATTAGAGCAGAGTCTTTTCTTCTTTTGTTGATATAAGTAGTTGCTATTATCTCTTAAAAGCAGGTGAAGGGACCTTTGCATGTAACTGAGATGGGGAGGTGTACCCACAGCTGATTCAAAGAAAACTCTCCTAACTGAACTGGCAGTGCAGATCAGAGGAATTTTGGTGGATGTCATGTATAGGCTTCTTAGTGCTTTTGAAGCCCAGGAGAAATGGGATTGGGTTCAGCCCTGAACAAGATGCACTCTATCTGTAAGTGCCCTGGCCTAGCCAGGCTTTTCAAAGAGGGTGAGGGACATTTGCTTTGCACTATTTCTAATGTGAATTGTTGCAGAGGGTGGGAGCGATGGTGACTTTCTTTGTAAGCTTCATTCTTGCCAGCATAAGTATTCTGTGTGTGAGGGCTGTGGTGACTGTGGATGCCTTTGATTTGGAAAGCAAATCGTTCCCATTGCCTTAGTGGATTGTGAAATCTCTAGCATTAGAGTGGGGAGGAATAATGCAATTAGATAAAGTCAGTGGATTAGATAAAGTGCTGGCTCTGCTGTCTGTGACCCCACTGGTGGTGGTGGAGATGCACCTGCTTTATGTTTCCAGGGATGCTCCATCCCTGGAAACTTTCAAGGTCAAGTTGGACAGGACTCTGAGCAGGGGGGTTGGACAAGGTGACCTTTAAAGATCCCTTCCAACCCAAACTATTCTATGATTCTTTGATATTTGTGAGTGATTGGATCACGTCTACAGTGTGGAGAGACCCAGCTGGTCTATTCACTGCAACAGCTTACCTGTGGATACGTGATGTTGACTGTGCATTTGAGGAGGGGCAAGGACAAGGAAAAGGGCCTGGTAAATGGGTTGGGTCTTGTGTTTGTGTTATAGATCCTTCAGCCATTTTGTAGCAAGGCAGCACTGTGGGGCATGGCATTGTATGTACCTCTCTGTGGATTGTGACGGGGTGCTGCCGGAGGAGGGAAAGCCCATAGAAGCAGTCCACGCCTACCAGCATGGTATGTGTGCTGGCCTCCACCTTCCCGAGTGGGTGTGGCTCAAGTCCTCACCTGTGGTGAAGGTGGTGGAGATGACGCCGCTCCGCACGGCATTTTGGGCAGCTTGCAGGCGCACGGTGTACTCCGTGGTCTCCGACAGCCCCTCCAGGCGGATCCACGTGTCCTCGGCATCCACAATCAGCTCCTGTACATGGGTCCCAGAAGGAGGCAGACACCAAGAGCAACAGATGAGAAAAGCGGTGGGGAGCCTAAAGAGCAAGCGAGGAGGGAAGGGAAGCCACAAACTACCGCAGCCTTTGGTGCCTGGCCAAGGAGCGTTGCATGGCTGCTTACACCCTTGGACTGGGTCAATGAGGGCAATGAACACGGTCAACATTTTGGGATGGTTTGCGTGGGAGAAAGCAAGATGGCTTGGACACAGGCAATTTAAGTGTTTGCAGTCTGTGTGCTCTGTTTACTGACTCTGTTGGGATGTGCGTGCCCTCAGTACAGGGCATGACTGATGGCCCGAGCAGCACAAGGAGCAGAGCAGGCCAAACCTGGTTACCAGCCAGTTTTGACTCCGTTGATTCCTGGCCTGTTAATTTTTCTGGTTGAGTGCCACACAACGTTATCGAACCCCTTCTGCAGAGCCACTGTCCCCTGGCTGCTGTGAGCCTGTCACACCAGCAAAGGAAACGAGACTGGTGGCTGTGACGTGTTTCTGATGGCATTTGTAGCAGCTCTCCAGACAGGCAGATATGGACACACTCATTAAATAATCAAATATATTGTATTGTGGGATTAATTAGCTGTCTGTGCCTGTCTTCCTTTTCACAGGAAGGGCAAATGGCATTTTTAGCATCCCTGTTTGCAGGATAATTTTCTCCTGCCTCACCTTGCTTGTGTTTCACAAGCCGTGAATTTCCCCTGTTCCTCCAAACTTTCCAGGTATCCCCTCTATGCTCAGACCTGCAGGTGTGCATAATCATTTTGCCTTAGGCAATTTCTTCTTGCTTTTTCTTATTACTCACCTAAAGTATCTGCTTATGCAGAAAGTAATGCCTGCCCTTCTGGTCTCCCTGAGCCGGTGAGCATTGTTGTTTTTGCTTTGTAGGGTTTCTCCTGGTTGTTTCTCCATAGTCTTGTTATTCCCTGACTTTCTGAACCTGTTTCTTTGCGAGGACTCACTCACCTTCCGGCTGCCGTCGGGGGATCTGTAGGTCATGACGTAGTTCTCGATCTCTCCCACGGGAGGAACCCAGGAGAGCAGGGCGCTCCGTCGGGTGACTTCACTGGCGGTCAGATTTGTTGGAGGATCCAAAACTGCAACAGTGGATAGGGACCCCAGGGAAGGGAACGTTCTCACACACAACCACCCCAGTTCCATTTCCCAACTCAGTACACTGGGATTCAACCTCGCAACACTGAGCTACGACCCGAAGTCCACCCTCACCCTCAGTTTCAAGACCTCGTCACCCCTCCCCAGCCTTGAACAGAGCTCTGCAAACCCTCTAGAAGTCCTCTGCCTATGTGCCACCTCAAGGGTAACAGCTCTAAAGTTAATGTCAAGCTGCTTGTGAGCAAAACAGGTTGTAGAGCTCTTCTGGACTATGGCCTTGGGCTAGAAAAAAACCTGGTCAAGAGTATTCTCAGGAAACCACATCCAGGGGAAATCAAAGATAGAAAGGAGTTGATGGATGTTGAAAAAGTGAAAATGATGGCAGATGCTTGTTGATTAAAACTCTGCTCTTGTGTTGTGCCCAGCGCTAGTATTTGGGTGTCCTTTTGGCACGTGGCTACTTCTATGCCCACTGTATGTGAGAAGAGCTTTGGCTCAGCCTGGCTGGCTGCTTGTCCTGGGGTGAGTGCACGGCTGAGGGTGGGAGGCGGGGAGGTGATTGTACGTACGGGTTGTGAAGTTGGTGCTGATGGTCTGGCTGGTGAGAGGCCCGCTGGTGGCGTACATAGAGACCATGTAAGTGGTACTGGGCAGCAGGTTGGTCAGCTGGTACTCCTGGCTGTCTCCATCCACGAGAATTGTTTCTCCTGCAACTGTAAGCCAACAGGGATGGGTTTAGGCAAAAGTTCCATGTAATTCTCCAAAACGTGCCTCTGGGTACGATCTCACGAACAGAAGCACTTCTGATGCTGAAACACCATAAGCTGCAGTGCCACAGCTGAGCTGCAGTGGTGGTGTTCAGCCTGAAGGATAGTCTTATTTTTCCCACTGTCCCTATAAAACCCAGAGTAAGGGCTCCTTCCCTACCCCCTCCCTGAAGGCCCCTGCCAAGCTCTGGGCTTTGGGATGGGGGAGAGGTGGAGGTGAGCTGAAACAGAGCCCCAGTGTACCTGCATGGCGGGTGAGGATGAGGACGTAGCTCTCCACCTCCGACAGCGGCGGGTTCCACTGCAGCAGCGCCTCGGTGGGGGTGATGTTGGTGGCCGTGACCCCCAAGGGGACATCCATGGCTGCATGAGGGAGACATTCAGAGAGTCAGAGGCATTAAGAGACTGGAGACTGAGCTATGAACTGGAAGGGCTTCTTGTGGCCCACTGCTCGTGGTCTTGCCCTGCTGCTCAGGCACATGAGCCTGCAGGGGAGTTACTGCTGCCTAGGCTGGAGTGCAGAGATGTCATATATTGTGCTACTCTGCTACCTGGGCTGCTCCTCCTCTGTTTTCCTGATGCACAGCCTGGGATGTTAGGGATTTTCTTTAGGTTTTGAGGAGTCTGTGGATAGCGGAGGGTTTTATTCTTGCAGCAGATGCTGTTTGTGACGGGGCTTCCCCAGGGATTATTTCTGAAAATCTGCACTCCCTTTAAGAAAGCTTGTCATGGTGGCCCAACATTATGTTTCTGGCTTCCCTGTGCCTGGTACACAAGTTTATCACTTTCCCCATGACTACCCATGAATATTCTGGAAAAGCTTTGCTGAGACATATTTTAAAAGCCCACATTGGGCCCTTGTGAGCCTTGCTTATCATCCCAATCTTGCATCAGGCTGGCATGAGGTACAACTTGCTCTCAGTCGCCTGATTACTAAGGCAAGAAGGGATTGCCAGCCCTGCCCAGGGCTGGAGCTGTCACTGTTTGGTTGCTCCCTGCCCACCAGGAGCCCCTTCCCACCTGTGTAGGCAGTGATGGAGGCCAGCTCGCTCTCCTCCCGGCCCCGCACGCTCTTCACCCCGATCTCGTACTTGGTGGCGGGCTCCAGGTGGTGCAGGGCGTGCTCGGTGACATCCTTGGGGAGGGCGGTGCTGTCTGTCCTCCCTGCAGGGATGGAGCCAAGAGCTTTGGCAGCACGGCTGGCCCCATCCCTGGGGTACAGGAGGTGCTCGGGAGGGGAGGGCAGTGCCACAAGGTACTGGAGTTAACTGGGTTTCATGCCTGCAGGTGCTCATCACTGCTGGCTTGGCCTTTTCAGCATCATAAGCAAAACTGGGGCCAAGGAAGATGAGGTAGTGGAAGCAGATGAGGGAGGTGGGACTTCAGGATTGAGCCCTGAATTAGCCATCCCTGTGAACCACATACTGCAGGGGGTTGCTCCCTGTGCCCCTCTGTGCCAAGCTGGCCTTTGGCTGCAGTTGTCCCTTCTCATTCCCATCCCTGACAGTCCATCCTCTGTCCCTGTAGCCTTTTGTTCCATGCCAGTTATTGGTGGCTTTTACCAGGGCATGGGATGCTGTCTGGGATGAGGATGACCTGGTGGCTTGTTCATGCCAGCAGACGGAGGGAGGGTTGGCAGCTGGGAGCTCAGGGCATGAACAAGAGTGCTCTGATCCCTTACCTTCAGCAGCACGGTAGGATATTCTGTAGTGGTCGAAGGCAGCAATGGGAGGGCTCCAGTAGACCATCATGGACTCCTGGGTGACATTGCCCACCCTGAGGTCCTTCGGCGCATCGATCCCTGGAGAGATGGAGCGCAAAGCAAAGCTGTGGGAGGCAGGTCCACTCCTTGTCCCCCTGCCTGCCCTCCCGGTGGGGTCCCGTGCCTGGTGGGGGGTGTCCTGTGGTACCTGTGGTGATGGAGCCCACGACAGGCTCGGAGCTAATGGCGCCGTGCACGGCCACCAGGGACACCAGGTACTCAGTGGAGGGCTGCAGGCCCGTCAGGCTGGCGTGCCGGCGGGTGCCATCCAGGGTGACCTGCTGCGCCTCCTCCGCGTCCCGAGGGCTGTAGGTGAGGATGAGGCGGTCTGCAGGTGGGGATGGGTCACTCCACGTGACATTGACGCTGGAGGACGTCAGCTGGGAGAAGTGGAGCTGTGTGATGGGTCGAACACCTGGAAGGTGGAGAGGAGAGATGCAACCCCAACCGTCTGCAGATCCTGGCCTCCACGTTGTTCCCAGTGCTGATTTGGGAAATACCCAAGAGAGGTGGCAAAGCTGGAGCTCTGGGCTCTCCACTGATTTGAAGCTGTGCTGATGTCAATAGACAGAACCAGGAGGGGGAAAATGGTGCTTTTCTCAGCCCTGCCTGCAAACACTCTCCATCCCGGACCCATCTGGTAGGTGATGGAGCTGTCCTACTGCAGATGGTATGTGTTGTCTGCACTTCAAAAGAGGGAGAAATGAAGCCTTGAGGGACCTAACAAGGTTCTCTGACTGAAAAGTCTGCAGTCACAGACATACAGACCACCCTGACAACAGAGAACAGCGTGGGCTGTCTGTTCCCCCATTCCTGCCTCGTCCTTTTGGAAGCCTCCAGCCAGGCAAGTGTGCTCAGTGCTGCTGGCCAAGGGGACTGTGCCACCACATTGGTAGCAACATCCTCCTTTTGAGGTCAACAGATCTGCTTCCATGTGGACACACTGACCCCAGCTCTCATCCCCATCACTGCCCAAGGGTTTTGGTGCTGGGGATGTGGTGGGCTGGCAGAGGTGACAACACAGGGTAGTGGTCTGTGGCCTTGGCCCCATCCCAACTTGTCTGTCTTTACCTGTGAAGGCGTCCACGGTGGCCTCCAGGCTCTGCTGCCGTCCCCTCTCGGCAATGATGGAGATGGTGTACTCCGTCCCGGGCTCCAGCTCTGAGAGGGTGAGCTGTGACTCGTCCCGGGACACCGTCACTTCCGAGGCCATCCCTGAGGCAGGGGTGAAGGTGACACGGTAGTGGTCGATGGGACCTGTGGCTTTGGTCCACGCCAGTGAGATGGACGTCTCTGTGGAGGCTGTCACCACGAGGTCCCGGGGGCTGTCAAGCTCTGTGGGAGAGGGTTGGTGCAGAGCTTTGTCCCCATGCACAGACTGTCCCATGGGGACATCTGAGCCACAGGAGCCAGCTGTGTGTGAAGCAGGCAGCGGGGCCAAACTCACCAGTCCTGGCGTTCATGGTGGCCGGCACGCTCTGCTGGCTGTCCATCACGGCCGATATCCCGATGCCGTACTCTGTTCCCGGCACCAGATCTGCCAGGGAGCGCAAAAGACATGAAGGGGTGTGAGAACAGAGCCTGGCAGGGTGACCTCAGGGTGCAACCCCCCCAGCTCCCACAGCTGGGGACATCCAGGGCACCCCTGGGGTGAGCAGGCCTCCCACAGGTTAGCAGTTCCTCCGTGCACTGCAGAAACGCTGAGCCTTCTTTAAAAGCCCCGTGCATGCCTTTGGACAGGGAATTTGGATTATTTTAGCTCAGAAGCAAGACATTTTTAAAAGTTGTTGCTGAGGTCTGCTGTAACTGCTGGCAGCGAGACAGAAGCTCTGTGTGTGCGAGCTGAGATGGGAATGACAAAGTAGCTATATTTGTTTCCAAAGTGATGCAACATCGAATATTGTCACAGGGCTGGTGTCTTGAAAAGAAATAAATTATGCAGAGTAAATGAAATATACATTAATTAGGAAAGGTGCAATCTTCCTGGGAGCTGAATCAAGCCCTGCTCCTTGGAGGGGATGTATCCTGCAGTGCCTCTCTTAAGGGACATGGGAGTTGAGTTCATCCAGTTCCTTTCCTGATTGCTGTGATAACCATGTGGGACATCTCCTGCCTCTGCCTGTCACTTCTACTTGGCTGCTGGTGGCTCTATTCCTCTCCTCCCTGTGCTTCCTGATCTTTCCCACAGAGCTAAAAAAGCCATAAACCCTCCAGCCCAGCCTCACCCTGCCTTGCCCAGGGGAAGCATCCCCTGGAGCCACCAAAACCTTCCTCAAGAGGCCAGGAGAGAGGGAAACCCTCACCCCCTGCTCTTCTCTTGCTACAGTGCAGTCTTGGTGATGGGGGGAAGATGGACCCACATCACTTACAGGCCCTCCCCAGCAAGTGTCAGAAGTATCCTGGAAAGGAGGAGAAGAGCCTGGGAGAAAGGGAGAGGAGAAGGAAGAAACGAGCAGGAGCATATAAACCAGTCCTTTTTCTCTGCCATCTCTTTTGGGTAGTGCAATGTTATGGATACTTCTGTGCAAATGCTGATTTTTAAGAGAGACTATGGGGCAGGGCAAGGCTTGCTGTATTTTTAAGCTTAAATCTTTGATAAACTCTGCTCAGTGTCATTCCTCACTGCTTTTCCTGCAGGCAGATGAAGGTGATGGAAGGAATTACTGGTTGTTTTCATGTCATGGATCCCATCAGGCTGGCTGGAAACACACCCCAACGTGTTTTGCTCCCCATACAAGACTGGAGGACAGGACTGCTCTGTGCATATCAGAGCTATGGGAGAGCTCAGTGCCATCCACACCACAGCTCTCCTGGCTTTTTTTTTGCCAGCAGAATGATTTTTTGGGTTATTTTATGCTATGATTGGATTTTTTTTTAATTGGTTTGTTTATTACCCTGGGAACTGGAAGCAATGCACTTAGGTGATGATGGAGGCACTATGTAAAAATCACTCTGCTATCGACTTAAGCCTCTGCATCTCTGCAGCTTGCTCTGGTGGGATTTCTTGGAGCCCTGCCTGAGTCTGGCAGAGACTTGGCACCTTTTTTAATTTTATTGAGAAAAACAAGAGCCTTCAGACTGCCACGTCCTCCAAGGCAAGCTCAGGTTCTGCCATGGGTGTCGTCGCAGTTTGTGTCGCCGGTGCCATGTTGTACCTCTGCCCCAGGGAGGGCAGTTTGGCCCGTTTTTAATGCTTCTTCTCACTTGGAAAGCCAATAAATGTCCTAGAGGAAAGCTAGCAGGAGCCCAGCAGCCAGCCTCTGATCTCATCCCACTTCTCCATGCGTGTCCTCATCAGGAATGCAGCAGAAACTATCCCTAACATTTTTCTTCTTTCCGCATACCACGTTTTTCAAGCTATCTGCTCTAATTGCCTTCCTGCCCTCCAGCCTTTCTCATGATTCTGCTGCTGTGCCTGCAACTTAACATTCGACTTTCCTTCTGGACTTACTCCTATAGCTCCATGTGGCAGATTCCTGAGCCCCTGAAGGTCCCGGGAGGGCAGAGAGTCAACATGGAGGAACCTGATGTCCTGCCATACTGAAGAGCTTCAAGCTGAATGAGTGAGCTTTTTTTGTGTAAGTAAGTCTTTTCTTTGCTCAAAAAGTGCCACCAGAGTGGCAAATCCATCAGGCAAGCAGTTCTGGTAGAAAAAAAAAAAAAAAAAGGAAACCAGATCTCACATGGTGCTTTGCTGTGTTGCTGCACGAGGTGTTTGGGGCTTTCCTGGCAGCGAGAGGTGGGTGGTGTTTGCAGCCCCTGGTGGCATCCCCTGTGCTGAATTGTGTACCACTTAAAGGACTTGCTCAAAAATAGCATCCCTAGGTTTGGGTCTGCTTTGTGCCTGATTTGGAAAAAGGCAACAAATTCGGGCAGCCTGGCTCCCCATCACTGCCCATGGGGCATCATCACCTGTGTCTCTTTCCCAACAAGGAAAAAAAGAGAAGGGTGAAATAATATTTCCCTCTAGATCAGCCTAAAAAGGCTTCTTCTCCTCATTTCTCACTTTGCTCCTTGCCAGCTCTATTTGGCACCCAGAAGGATCTTTGGTGGTGGCGCATGACTTGGAGGTGCCTGATTTGGAGGTGCGTTACTTGGAGGTGCATCACTTGTGGATAAGCAGCACCCAAATCCAGACCCACGCAGGGGAAAATGAGCTACATCCCAAGGAAAACCTTCTCTCCGGTAAGCAGTAAACTCCAAAACAACCTCAAACACATGCCAGCATAAGGGCAACGGCGTATCAGTGCTGATTTGGGCTCTCCACTGCCCTACCTGCTTGAGAGGAGGAGGAGGAGGGGGAGGAAGGGCGCACACATACCTGCAAGGGTGGCGCGGGTGGTGGGACCGGTGTCACGCGGCACCAGGACCTCGTGGTAGTGCTCCCCGGCCAGGGTGCTGTAGACCACCCTGTAGCTGTTGGCCTCGGCCTCGCTGTTGTCCCAGGCGAGCTCGAGGCTGGCGGGCGTCCGCGAGCCCACCCGCAGGTTCTTGGGGGCATCGATCTCTGCGCGACACAAGGGAGAGAGGCACCGTCTCACCGCCGGGAACGCACCCCGGAGCCTTGGCACGGCCCGAGGGTGGAGGGGCACCCGGGTGTGATGCCTGAGAGGTCCCCATGGGCGGTCCCTCCTCCCCCAGGGCACGGGAAGGGCTGGGATATCTGCTCTCACCTGCTGCTCAGCACAGACTGGGAGATGCTGCCCAGGTGAGCGGTGTGAGTGCTGGGGCACTCACAGCATCCTTAGTAAGTTGCTTTGGGAGCTAATTCCATGTTATTTGGAAAAGAAAACTGTTTTCTGCCCGTAGCAGAGTAAGGGAAAGTGAGGCAGTGTGAGGGCTCTGTAGCAACCATGAACTGCTCTTAGAAGAACCTTGAGCATCTTTACAGGCTCATTCACACCCAGACGTTTCCCAAAGTGTTTGTTTATTAGTGCTGCTGAGGCTGTGCACCAAATCTGCTCTGGTTTGCACAATAAACCCTCTGGTGAGCGATGGGTTGGGGCTGGGCACCAGCAGACAGTGGGTAATGGTGATGGATCTGAGTTTGGGGGGGGATTTTTTGTGTTGCCTTTTAGAAATAAAGCGAGGAAGGCCAACGCAGCAAATCAGTCAGGGCGAACATCTCTTCCGAAATATTTATCTATAGAGATATTTACACACACAATTCACACACCACAGTTATTACAGTAGGAGCCTCGTATCCACCAGTAACATACATGACAAGTAATTTATATACCATAAACCAGCATGGAAATACACACTCTGCCTCCTCCTTTATGGCACGGTAAATTAAACCTGTTAGGTGTCTGCAGGCTTAACATTAATTAAAGTTTTACTGACCAGTTAGGCTGTTTAGAGAAGATATAAAATGAGATAACCATGTTTCTGGCTGGGCTGCTTTCAGCTGCTTGACTGCTAATTCCTCAGGCAAGGCATTTGCCTTGGCTCTCAGTGCTGAATGGGAGTGAGCATTGTCTTGAATTCAGACCTGTGCTGAGTGTTTTGGTTCTTTTGAGAACTTTGCATGGAGCTCTGGGTGCTCTTAGGGGTGCTGGGTTTTAGAGTTTTAGCTCAGCTGTGTGTCTAAACGGGCACTGAATCTGGTGGGGATGTGTGTCCCAGGCAGGTTCAGACTTGATGCCACGGCAGGACACGGCCAAGGTGGAGTTGGCTCAGGGTCTGTCTAAATGTGGGGTTTTGAGTCATCCATGCCTGGTCATTGGCATCTGGGATCACCTGGACTGCCCTGAGGACCATGTGATCAACCCTGTGGGGCACAGGGCATGAAGACCTGTTGCACTGGAGGTTTAGGGACTAAACAGTAATGTAGGCACGAGTAAAGGGATCAGAGAACGGTTTTAGGGTGTGTATTTTAGGGGCAGCTGAATCGTTTGCTCTGCCTTGCTCTATGAGGGATGCGAGGCACCTGCATTCAGGCGTCTCCACTCACACCTGCATCTTAACCATCGTGCTTTCATTCCACTTCTTCCTCCTAGCACACACCACACTAAACCCCAGCTCACTTGTGCCAGGGGCAAACCAGGTGCCACTAAATCCCAGATGCAAAAATCCCCTCGCTTTGCCTCCGGATACGTCCTCGTTGCAGGACAGCCCATCTGCAGATCGCAGCAAGCCGTCTGCCCGTGCCTGCTGCGGGCCTAAAAGCTCACGCCAGTTCTCCCAGCAAAGCCAGTCTAGCTACCTGTGGTGAACTGGGCGAGGGCTGGCCGGCTCTCGTTGGCACCCCGCAGGGCGCTGACGGCGAGGTGGTAGCGGGCGCCGGGGCGCAGGGCCTGCAGGGAGTACTGGCTGAGGGGGGGCTGCAGGCGGAAGGTGGTCCTCCCGCCCTCCCCGTCCGCCAGCCCGTACTTCAGCAGGATGGCGTCCACCTTGGCGCGTGGCGGCGTCCACTCCACGAAGGCCACGGTGTCCGAGACGTCCCGTACCAGGATCTGCGTCGGGCCGTCGATGACTGCGGAGCATGGGGGGGGGAAACGGGCACCTGTTACTTTGGGAGGGTTGGGTGGGGAAAGGGGGAAGGTCTGGGGTTGCCAAGCTTCTGGGGTGCTTCAGCCCGGCCTTCAGAGCGGCTGGGATTAGCATCTGGGGACAGGGAGAGAGGTGACATGAGCAAGACCATGACCCCAAGGTAGGAGGTTTGGTCCTTGTGGGTTCCCAGTCCCTTGTCCCAATCTCCTGGCTCTTTCCTGAATTCACTCCACTCTCTGTGGGCCCAGCAGCTCTCTCATTGATACCGTTACAGCTATAATGCAACTCATGCCCTTCTCTCAAGCTGGTTATCGGCAACAATCCTTCCCTGGCTTTTCCAGGTGGCATTTTCCAAGATAAAACCTCCTATATCTAACTGTGGTCCACTTTTTTTGCTCCTAGATAACTGCTCGTACTTTTGCATTGGAAAACGTGTAACTTTGTGCCCAGCTCTTCAAAGCATCCAGACTACTTTTATCGAGGATCTTCCACTCAATTTACTCTTTTCTGGGCCTTTCCATCATTGGTAAAATTTATCAGCAATGATATTATGTCTTTTGAAAGGTGTTGACAACGTGTTAAATAACGTGGGGCCAAGGACAGATCCAAGCATTTAGAACTGAGGAACATCTCTAGAAATGTTCCTGCTTCGGTGCCAGCTCCTGGTTTGTCCTTAAGCTGAGGGATCAGCTTGTAAAGCTGTTGATGTCTTGGCTGTGGGGAGAGAGGAGAAAATGCAACTGCTCTGGTGAGTCTTCATAACTAGCTGGGTGTGGGCTATGGTGGGTGTCCAACAAACTCCCTCAGATAAAAGGTTTTTAGGTAAATTCATACCAGGGATCTACCGGGAGACACTTTCAGATGTTTCTGCTTTCTTTTGCAGAGAATTGGGCCCTTCCCTCCTCCAGAGCCCCCAGCACTCAACCTTTGAACATCGTGGACTGAAGCCTGGCTGATGGATGCTTGGAGCCCAGCAGGACTTAACCGCTGCATGGATGGATGGGGCCAAGCCAGGCCATTGCTCCTGTGCCATGGCAGTGCTGATGCCTGCTGGGCAGCCTGTTTTATCACTTGCATGATCACAAGGTGGGTGAGAAAGCCCACTCTGGTTCTGTAATTCAGAATATACTGTATATCTATATACATCTAGTATAGTGAATATAAGAGAAAATGACTATATAATAAGGGTGTGCTGAATGCTGCATGCCAGGGTCAGAAGTTCTGTGGGAGAATCTGTGTGGGCAGGGGTGAGAAGGACCAGGGAGGGTTGGAAAAAGACATGTGGGGGAATTTGGAGCAGTGGGGTGAGGTCTGAGGGCAAAACAGCAACGGAGGAGGGAGGGCAGCTGGGAAGCACAGTGGGTAGGAGCTGGGTGTCCAGGACCAGGTCACGCTTATCCAAACCCTGAATCTCAAACTACTTCACGTTGTCCAGTCATCCAGGTGATGCACATCTACTTAGCTGTGTGGCATAAAACCATGGCTTTTCTGCTTGATCCCGGCACAAGGTGTTGAGGCAGAACAAGGATGATGAGGATTAAGCTGTGGGGGTGCTGCAGAGGAAGGCAGACATGCCAGCACAGGGATGCCTTCAGGAAGCAGAAAGCTGGGAGCCACCGCGCCACCTGTGCTCCCTTCAAAGGTCAACCTCCGAGTTCGAAGTACCAGCCTCTGTATTTTGTGCTGACATCCATGGGAAAGGAAGATTTGGGCTTGACCAGGAGATGTCTCTGTTAAGCCACGTCGAGCTGAGCGTGGACGCAAAGCGGGAGGAGAGGACTGAGCCGACATAGCTCAGACCTGCAGCAAACCACTGCTGGTGGAGGGACCCTCCCTTCGCTCTCACCACTGCCTCAAGTTAGCAGCCTGAAGAGCATCACCTTGTTACAGCCCTCCAGCAGCTATTTAAGTGCTGTTTCTGTTTGGAACAGCTTGGGTGGAGGTAGTAGACATCTGCCTAACTGCCAAGGCAGACTGCAGCAGGTCTGGCGTGGAGAGCCCCTTCTCCCAGTGAGCTCTGCCCATTGCTGCGTCTCCTTTGGCGAGGAGAAGACACAGTTTTCTCGGGTCTACAGGATGGACCAGGGACTGGGCAAATAAATTGGTTAGGAAGGGACATGCTGTTGCTCCTGGCTCCCGGCCCTGCTGCCTGATTTGCCTGAATAGGTGGGAGTAGAGGGCATTTAGTGGAACAAAAGCAGGTGGGAGTTTTAATCTGTTATATATGAGTAAGTAATACATTTATAGAGATATTTCTTGAGGGCTTGCAGCCTCTGAAATGTGAGATTAGCAGAGAAGAAGAATTTATCCAGCTATATAATAAAAGCAGACCCGAGTCTTCACTCCCAACCCCATTAAACCTCGCCACGGTTTCTGTGCTTGTGGCAATTCAGGAGGGAGAGGGACAAAATACTGCATGAAGAAGCTGGTGCTGCAGTGCTTGGGCACCGGGGTGCTGCTACTTTTATCCCTGCCCATGCAGTGCCAGGCTGCTCTTGCTGATAGGATCTTATTTTTGGGACCAAGCCCTGGGCTCTGTCGTGCTCCCCCAGGTCAGGCTCACTCACGGGTTGAGACGCTGTCGGAGGTGGGAGGGCTCCTGGCTTGTTCCTTCAGGGCCACCACGGTGACAGTGTACTCCTCCCCTGGCTTCAGCCCCGTCTGGTTGAAGGTGGTGACAGTGCTGGGCAGCTGAGCAATCACACCACCCTCGTTATTCTGCCAGGGAGTGGAAATAAGCATTAAAAAAAAAAAACCACAAAAATGGTGTTTTGGGGGGACTGATGCATGGAGAGGAGGTGCCCCCCCCCTCCACGTCACATTCTTCCATGGCCAGCTGTGCATCCCCAGATCACTTCCCACCATGGAGGTGCAGAAACCCAGGGTGAAGTCACCCACCAAGCAGGGAGCACCCATGTTGTTGGGCTGCAAAATCCTTCCCCATCCCTTCCCCCCTCAGCTTCTGTATTTTGCCATCTGTGTCTCTGCTGTTCTTCAGAAGGGAAAAGAGAATAAAAACAAAGCCTTGGCTAGACTACTTTTTCCTGCTCTTCAGGTACCAGGAGCTTTCTGTAGTTGATGTACAGGTATGAAACTGTGAGGTCTTTATTTTGCCATCCCCTGCTTTTTAACCATCTTTATTACACTCATTACGCTTTGCAGTTTTGCCCTGAAAAGCTGTAAGGCTTTAAACAACTGCAAATGTCACCTTTCCTGCCAGTGTTTGGACAAAGGATCTTTTCTTGCTGCTGTCTTCACTAATAACACACTAAACAAATCTTTGCATATAGCTCTCCATTCATATTCATCTCTTTTCTCATTAAACAGGAAATGTTCCATTTTAGCCATCAATTGCCATCTTACCTTTCCTAATTTTCTTTGCTAAATCTGTCTTTGCTTCATTTTTCCCCCATCACATCCTCAGTGTGGGCAGCATATGGGCAATACCCACCTGACCTGGATTTTGGGGGGCTGGGGGGTAAGAGCAGAAGGACACCACAGAAGGAGAATTGCTCTGCAGGAAAGTGCAAGCATCCTTGTGGGGATGCTGAGGACCAAATTAGCGTCCTCTCACTGAGTTTTTGGGAAGACAGGGAGCTCAGTTTTTCTCACAGAGGTTATTTGTGACACTGCTGTTGTAACTCCATTGGTTTTAGCCTCTGGGACTAGGTTTTGGGTTTATTTGGGTGTGGCATGTTCTCAGGCAAGTATTGCTTGCAGGCAGTGAAGGACACAGCACCCTCTGCCTTATTGTAGGGGAAAAGCTGGTGAAGGAGAGTCCAATTTTGGCAGCTGACAGGCAAGAGCATGACTGTGATTTTCTGGTGCAGGACCTTGTACTTGGCCAATGGATGCGAGAACTTCAAAGCCCAGTGAGTTATGTCCCTTCTCTACCCAAAATCTTGCATCTGGGAACAGCCAGACTTTTGCATCTTATCTGCCTTTAAATCCCAAAAGACTTCCATGTGTTTTTAAGTTTTAAGATTGAAAACGGAAAGGAGGACCAATGATTTGCATTTTTGGGTGAGCTTGAGCAAAAACCTATTGTTGGTGACTCTGTGGGGAGAGGTTTGCTTCTATCCTGGTGATTCCTCACCCTAAAAGGGATATATCCTCATCTATCTGCTTCAAGGGGATGCTGTTGAGCTTAATTCCTGAGTATCAGTGAATGTTTGAAAGGGAGCTATTTTTTCCCACCAAAAGCTCTTTCCTGATGTTGCCATATTTTTCAGCTTTTCTCCTGATGGTGAGTGAAAATTATCCCAGAGTTTATACCTGCACTACCTGAACTTCAACTCGCAATGTTGGCTATGTCCACATGCAAATCGTGTTGCACCAAGAACCTTCCAGCCTCTTTGGAAATGAGGGAATTGAGTTATTTAAAGCAATTGGGCCCCTGCTTTGTGCTGTGTAATGATACTTTACAGTTAAGAGCATTTAAAACTTTGGGGCCAAGTTCTGCAGTTCCCCGCTGCCCAGAGCTGCCTTTGATTCCAGCGAGAGTTTTGTACAAGTGAAAACGTCATAATTGAGCCCTTAATCAGCATTTCTTTTACTGCTGGGGCTTGAATGCTCTTGAAAAGAGGCTCCACATACAATTGAAGCTATACTTATGGCTAAATGGTGTAGAAATTATGAATATAGATGAAATACTTGATGTACGATTTTTGTCGCCGCGCACAGAAAATATGCGATATTTAGGGCAACATTTTTATCCGTCTTTTCTGGCACAATTTCTACCTGTTCATCACTGCCATTACAATTCCGTGGCAGGAATTAGCTGTGCGTGTGACTCGGGGATGTTGAAGGTTGTTGTCTGAGAGCTGGCAGCTGCTCAGTTTGATCCAGGCAGCTCTGGGGAGCTTGGTGTAGAGAGCAGGGGAGAGGAAGAGGAGGAGGAGGAGGAGGAGGAGGAAGGGTCACGACAAAGGAGATGGAAGGGAAAGAGAGGGGGTGACAGCAAGAGGCTGGAAGGTTTATTTCTTAATAAGCTTGTCTCTGGATTTTGGGGGGGGGAATCTCTTTGAGGACATGTATGTCAAAACTACTGGGGAAGTGCAGGCTGGCAGTGTTTGGGGTGTCTGAAGTGCAGCAAGCAAATGGCAAACACAGGCTGGGTATTTTGGGAAGGGGGTAATTGGAAGCTGATTTAGGATCTGCTAGCTTGGTGCTTTAGGTGTACCCCGTGATGCCACGAGTGCAGCAGCGGTACCTTGGGAATGAAGCTGATCTCCCAGCCATCGAAGGGGAAGGAGAAGGGCTCCCACTGCACCTCTGCTGTCGTCTCTGTGATGGTCTTGAACTTCAGCCCCTGCGGCGTGGCGAGGTCTGGAAGGGAGCAGGGGTAGGGGGTGGTGAGCAGAGTGGGATGGGTGCTGCCAGTCCCCACCCTGCTCCCTGTGGGTATTTTGTTATCAGGGCAACAAAAATGGGGAACCTTTTGGTAGCTGTTAGCAAAGTTCCTTTGTCCCCCCTCCGGGTGGGTTGGATGGAAAAGGGGGAAATGCCTGGGCTGCTGGACACTGAAGCATCCCACAACACTATCGTGTGAACAGAGTGGATGACGGGATTGCAAAGGGGTTTTGCAAAGGTCTGGATAGTTTCTGTTTTCCCCCTGCCCTCTTGTATCCTTACTTAGTTTCCTAGGATCCTTTCTGGAGATTGCCATTACGGCTTGATACTCTTGTTTTCCTCTGTGCATTGCAGTCCTGGTGAGGACTGTGTAACTCCTGATGCACAGCAGCATCCCCTCTTGCTGCACTATTGCCCCCCATGTTCTGGGGGCTTCAATCAAGCACTGAAATTTTTTTTTGGTTTTCAGATATTCAGATTTTCATCTAGACTCTTTCTGAAGAGGGTGGACACATTTCCCCCTTTCCTGTAACCCCGTACAGCCATAAATAGGGATAAAAATATCCCCAGTTTTGTTTTTTTGTTTTTGGTGGGTTTTTTTTTAAGACTCGAGTTTCTGCTGCTAGAAGGCTTTTATGGAAAATGTGAGCCAGCGTGAGTGTCCCCTCTGGATACACGGGTACCCAGCGACAAGTGCAGTAGGATACTTACTGGTCATCACCCTGGAGGTAACAGGGGTGCTCAAGACATCGCTGATGACTGCGTAGATGCTGACATTGTAGGCAACGCCAGGCTCCAGATCCGTGATGGTGATGCTGCTCCAGTCCCCAGGCACCCGCTGCTGGAGCTGGGTGCCCCCTGGCACCGCTGGCTGGTACGACACCACGTACTCGGTGGTTGCCCCGGCGCTGTCCCACGCCAGCTCCACGGAGCTGTCGCTGATCCCTGTCACTCGCAGGTTTTCAGGAGGAGCCACTGGTGGGAAGGGCAGAGAGAGAGGAGAGCGTCAGGCTGTGCGTGGCTTATCCTTGCACGCGGCTGTGTGGGAGGGTGTGTGGGTCTGCTGGTGGGACACAGGCTCTGGGCTGGGGGTTACGTGCTCTCTGTGGGTGTATGAACAGCTACAGCAAGGTAAAGGCTCAGGAGAACCTGACTGCAGCTGCAGTTGCACCAGGGGTTTAGCCCCCATTTTGGGATGAACCTGGCTTTTTGCTTGCCTCCCAGACATTTAACTGTCCCGTCTCTGGAGACAGAGACAACAGGGAGGCACTCAAACCGTGGGGCCTGAGTGTGTCCTACGTGATGTGCTCCGCTGGGTATGGGTTTCTCCCAGGCTTCGTGGCGCTCCTACGGGACTCTGGGCGCCTTGAAACCCTCCGCTTGTACACTCATGCCTGGCTCTCCCCGTGCATGCCCCCACTACCTGCTGAGCAGTCCTGCCCTTCGTAGCCTTCCTCGCAGACGCAGAGCCCGTCCCTGCAGACCCCGCGGCCGCTGCAGGCGTTGGGGCAGTGCAGCCACCCGCAGTCCTCGCCGGCGAAGCCCTCCTGGCACACACACGTGCCGTTCACGCAGTACCCCCGCCCCGAGCAGTCGCGGGGGCACCGCAGCTGCGAACAGTCCTCGCCGGCGAAACCCTCCTCACAGACACACTCTCCGTCCACGCAGAGCCCGCGGGAGCCGCAGCCGGCGGGGCAGCGGAGCTGGGAGCAGTCCTCGCCCCCGTAGTCGTTGTCGCAGATGCACTGGCCCTCCAGGCACACGCCGCGGCTGGAGCAGCCCCGCGGGCAGAGCGGCTCGGAGCAGTTGCTGCCCGCCCAGCCCTCCATGCACACGCAGCTGCACGACTCCAGGCTGAAGTTCCCGTGGCCGCTGCACTGCGGGATGTAATCCAGCTGCCCTGCAAGGATGCAGGACCGAGGGTCAGAGCCCACCGCGGGGGAGGTGGAGAAAGGTCAGTGCTGGTCTCAGGTCAGCCCTTCGATGGGCGGGGGAAGGGAGGGGAGGTGTGAGGCAAGCAGGGAAGGCAAGTCCTTCCTTTATTTGAGCACGCCCAACTCTGGGAGCTGGTGGCTGCAGGGCCGGAAGGGGCAGAATTGGTGATACAGGGTCGTGGTGGGGTTTGGGTAGATCTCCAGGAGGTTATATTTCCCTAGGGAGCAGTGGCTTCCATAACTACGGCTGCCATCAGCCTTGTTGCAATGCGAGTGCTCCCTTTGGTCTCTCTTCAACTCAGCACTCAGTTGATAGGAACATCCCTAATCCTCTTCCTGGAAAAAAAAGCCTTCCCTGGCCAAACCCTCTGTGCCAGCCATGGCTCCTCTGGTCTCATCTCCACTTTTTTACAGGCAAGAGATCCTGGTCTGCTCACTCTCTCTCCCACGAGAAGCAGATATGTGCCCAAAGACATGATCTTCATCCCTATCCTGGTGAGCCTGGTTGAGACAGAGCTGTTGGCTTTGCACAAAGTGTCAGGGGTTTGGGCATGCTGGGGTTGTGGGAAAGCAGGGAAGCCACATGGCCACCATGGCCACCACCGCTAATGTCCCCTCTTCACCTGGCAGCCTTGTACGGGATGCTCTGGAGTGAGGAGGGATGCATGGGGACCAAGGCACCAGTCACTGATATTGCCAATGCTCCCCTGTATTCCCCCCAAACAGGGACCAATTGCTCCAGCTTAGGGTT